GCTTCAGTCTTTCACTGGTTATTTCTCCTCCATATTCAGACAGTTGAGCAAAAAACTGACAAAATCGATCTCTGCACAGTCTCGGCATACATGTAGCATATGTATCGACTGAATAATTCAGATTATTTGCTTCATTATTACAGTATGTACTGTACTGATACAAAGGGAGTAAGGCAACCATAGGACCAAATTCAATACGACTGAATATCCTAAAGGAGGGGGTGAAAAAGAGGACAACGATATACAATGACCATGAATCAAATAACTATCAGGCCATAGCAGGTGGCTATCATTAAGCATTTGTGAGAGAAATGCCATTTATGCCATTTGATCTATGGTTTCCTGAATGTATCCTACATTGCAGCTATGGGGGCTAGAGACCAAAACAGTGAACACAGCAAATGTAACACATACAGTATCAGCTAAACTTGCCTTCTAATCAGAAATGATATGCCCTGAAAACAAATTTCCGGATTCGTTCTTCATTGAGTGTTTTGTTGCATGCTGCTTGACTCTGAAGCATTAATTAACTAGAGTCTATCAGGTCAAAGAAGCGCCGCATTCCCTACCTTTCTGACATAATCCAGATTACATGTCAGTGGAGAGCAGAGATTACCACTATGCAGCCATCATCAGTGATTTATGTATTATCTCGCCACTGCAGCCCGATACTGCTCTTCTGCTCTTCCTCTGGGGGTTACAGAAGAAAACAGCTAACACTATCGGACAACAACATGGATAAATGGGTTGATGTCAGCGGGCTACTGTGCCTTTTGGGATGAGTGCTGCTCCGGATGATGAGGAATGCCCTTTGCTTATAGCAGAGACTCTGGATAGTACCAAATCGTTCAGACACAAGTCTGTATGTAGAGTATATTGAAATGACTCATCGTACATGGAGGCTTAGGTTAAAGGCCTTATTACCATCTAGCTAACCCACAGCCACAGGGCATTGGTTTGTGATATAAAATGGAACTAGCGTGTCAAGTACAATATGGATGCATCCCAAGTCTCTAAAGTCGCCTAGACGTCCCTTATCCTACAGTGCCTACAGAATAGTACCGTAGTATGCCTGGCCTTTGTTCTATTGTACTGTATATTCTCTACTGATGTGAAAGGTGAATTGATGCAAGCAATATAACAGCCACCAGTCTGTACACTTTGTGAGGCTGATGCAATTCATTTTAACCTGAGAAGCAGTCTCTTTCAGACCAGGACAATAGTCACTTGATAGAACCAGGATGCACTCAGGTGGTTGACATAAAGATGACCCCGTGAAATTACTTTTACAGCTCACCAGTTACCAGTAACCTAGTGTGAAGGTAGAAGGAACAGAGAGAGGGTGTGTTTTATACAAGTCTCAAATGGCACCACATTCCCTTTATAGTGCACTACTTTGACCAGGGCCCAGAGGGTTCCAGTAAAAAATAGAGCACTATTTAGGTAATAGGGTGCTATTTGAGATGGATCCATTGAGTGACTGTAGCTGTGTTGTTGTGTCATGTAACAATCTAATACAGATCTTTAAATAGGCTCTGACTGTAGCAATCTCTGTCGGCAGGCACAGAGCACTGACCACCTGTTACCTAAGAGGAAACAGGTTCTTCAGGTTGGGGAAAGGATTTAAGAAAAGTCTGATTTTCTTTTTTGATCAACATGGACAACATGGGGCATTAGAAAGAACAATCACATTAATCCCTGCCTGTCTGGTTCAAAATGAATATTTACACACACACACACACACACACACACACACACACTCTCTCTCTCTCTCTCTTTCGCTTGCTCCAATCTTCTCTCTCTTTATCCCTCTTTCTAGCTCCTTCTCTCTCTCTCTCCCTCTCTCCCTCTATCTCTCGCTCTCGCTCTCTCTCTCACACACACACACACATACACACCCACACGCACACAAACACACACAGGGTTGTGTGCATACCTATGTTCTGGTCTACTAAACCTGTCTGAGCTAGAGGCTGATAGCCTAACCTCCTGTTTTACATCATTATCTATTATGCCCAGATTGCCCACACGGAAACATTCAAGTACACATTTCGCTAGACTATAATTCCACTAGCCTATATATATCCTGTATTTCCACACCCACAAATATATTACTGTAGCCTAATGTTCCTCTATGTCGCTATCCAATGCACTGGCAGTATACCCTTGAAAAATGAAAACCTGGCACAAGTGCAACTAACATGCTACTACGCGGATGGATGAATAGATGGATGGCTAAACGTTAACAATGTAACGTTGTCGATGTGGACCCGATGCTTCATGCCAGGCAACCGAGCCACAGCAGGTGCGCTGTTCCCAGAACGTTTCAGGAAGCGATGAAGCTACCCTTCAGACCAATAAGTAGCCTACTTACTTTCGGTGATCTTCTGTAACCCAAGTACATCCTCAGGCGATATTACGGGGTTTCTTAGCAACTCGTCTTCCGATGTAACCGGGACCCCCGCATCTGTCGAGTTGCAGCCTTTCTTCACTTTCATGGCCACGAGCGGTTTGGGGTGAGACTGGCGGGAAGTAGGGCTTCTGCTGCTGCTCTCGAGACCTCCGCTGCCACGGTTCGTATTATTAGTAGCCGCTTTATTCACACTGGCGTTAGGTGCGTCCTGGCTATTACACACAGCCTCCGTGCTGGTACAAGAATAGCTCATTCTCCGTGCCTCCTCCCCCTTCTGATCTGGTGAAGATATAAATCAGTCTCTCTCCCTCCCTCACCCAAGGCTCAACGGCTCTCTCACTCGGTATTTAATTTAAATCCTTAGTTCTTTAAACCCGTCTGTCCGTGACTGCTTGTGTGCGGCGGCTGAATAGCCCTTGCGCTTGGAGCGCGCGTGTGGTGGTGTTGGGGTTTACAGAATTCAGAACGTAGAGAGAGGAAGGAAGGATGCCGTGGGTCGTCAGCGCTCATACGAAAGCATCATAAGCCGTTCATGCAAATACATATAAACTCAATTGATAGCAAGATATTCTCATAAAAGCTAAATGCTTTCACCCTGCATGCATGTCTGCTGTGGCCAACCAGCGCATGGACAGACGCTCCCGCATTGAACAGCCTATGACTAATTGAATTGTTACTGTAACTTCCCATCGATTTATGACATGATCATTACATGACTCCCAGAAACGGTAAAAATGGCCACTTGGCCAGTGTAGATTATGTCAAGCGGTTGTCCCTTTTTAATCAGCTCACATCCATTACTATTCACGTGTACATATGCAATTTACATCTTTGAAGATATATTGCAATTATTGATAATATCTACAGAAATCAGCGATTCAGGCAGCTTTTTGGACACATTCTTACCACAATTCTGTGAATAATTTAACATTCTTATATACTGTATCTGGCACAACTGGCTCACGTGGTTGTGTATTCTACATCACTATGAACATTTTAAGATATTTTTGGGCATACTACAATTATATTTCCTACAGTTATGGTCATATGAAATTTTCTGATAAGACCACATTGATTGGTACCAATATTGGAAAAAGGCTTCTGTAGGGTTAATGAGTGAATTCTGTGATGGCCCTATATCTAAAAATCTTTTTAAAACCCTTTTTAGCTGTATGTGTGCAATTTGGTGCCTCTATCACCAAAGTTACAATCCAAAAATATAGCTGCCCCATTACATGGAATTATATGGCTAAGCTTCCAACATTCTAATGTCAATGGCACAATATGGGCGATTTTTAAACAATAGTTGCAGCTGATGCTTTCAAATTTTGTTATATTATATATCATTTTAAAGGTAATTTCATGACCTTTCAGAACCACTTGTCAAACAAAGTTGAAAATGTATCAGGGTTTCTGTTTTAAAGCCATTTATACAGGTAATTTTTATATTTACCCTAGAGGTCAGAGGTCAAAGTTCTGTTGACCTGAACTTTCAGAAAATATGTCTGATGGATAACTGTGAATCTAAGCTTTCCAATGATATATGATTAAATGGTATAAGCGAGAAATAATTTGTTGTATATTGACATTGTTTGTAAAGGGTAAATTCCCTATGTAAAAATAACATTGGGATGGAGGGATGAAAGATAGAATGATAACACACAGAAAGCTGCCATTGGTCCACTGCTATCACACATTGTCCAACTCTAGGGACATAGACCTTCAAAAAAATCACTGACATCATCGGCCCAAGTGAGTCCGACGGCCCAAATTTGGGGGTCTGGCTCATGGACTATTTGTTGGATTGCATGAACATGACATGGTTACAATTTGTCACTGTTGATGTTGATGCAGGATTGCCTTTGTGAGGATATCTATATTACGTAGAATAATGGTTTGAATGTTCAGTATAACTTATATGAAAACGTGGTACAAACACCACAGATAATCATAAAATACACAAGAGAACAAAAAGTCAAACAAGTAACTTGACATGAGCCAATGACTGCATTTCCAGCACTGAGGTTAGGAATCTTCATTCATTTTTATTTTTTTATTTTATTGGAATGTTGCTTTCCAGATGCCAGCATCCCTGAGAAATATATAGTGTATATAACAAGATTCCTCGGCAACCCCATCATTAAGAGGGGGGAGGGGTCTCCCAAAAGGTCGGCATGTCTAGAAAAACATTACCAGGTTTCCCAATCATAGCCCCTAGCTCACTTCCTCCTTCAGACAGCTTCACTGCCCTAGACTGAGTGTGTCATGGGCATAGCTTCACTGCCCTAGACTGAGTGGGTCATCAGATAGCCTCACTGCCCTAGACTGAGTGGGTCATCAGATAGCCTCACTGCCCTAGACTGAGTGGGTCATCAGATAGCCTCACTGCCCTAGACTGAGTGGGTCATCAGATAGCCTCACTGCCCTAGACTGAGTGGGTCATCAGATAGCCTCACTGCCCTAGACTGAGTGGGTCATCAGATAGCTTCACTGCCCTAGACTGAGTGGGTCATCAGATAGCCTCACTGCCCTAGACTGAGTGGGTCATCAGATAGCCTCACTGCCCTAGACTGAGTGTGTCATGGGCATAGCTTCACTGCCCTAGACTGAGTGGGTCATCAGATAGCCTCACTGCCCTAGACTGAGTGGGTCATCAGATAGCCTCACTGCCCTAGACTGAGTGGGTCATGGGCATAGCTTTGAAGCCTTGAAGGTAGAATGTCAATGGGGAAATGATGGTTGAGGTGCAATCCCTAGACTAGAAGGTGGCTTTGGGGGAGAGTACATGGGGAAACAGTGCCTCCCCGTGGATGATTGCGCTCACTGCAGGACATGGACAGAGCGCAGAGAACTGGCAGCTGTCCATGGTAGCTTAGAGACGAGTGAGTGGAGTGTGTAGTATCTCTGCTCTCTAAAATCATTCACAGATCGCAGGAGGGTAGAGCATTGTAATGAACAGGCTTATTCGGCATCATTAGGTATATAGCTAAGAAACACATAAGCAAGTAAGATGTATAAAATCAATGGGGTTTGCAGATATGGAAACAAACTAGTGAACACAAACTAATGAAGTTATGTAACTTATTAAAATCTTTGTTAAATAATTCCCTTTCCCCCATTAAAATCCCCATCATAAATATCATAACTCTTCTCATGCTATAATTCTATCAGGTCTTGGAACAGAGAGTACAGCTATCACTTTCACCAGTATTATTATATTCAGGCATTGTGGAAGTCAGCTGCAGGTAAACTGCAGTAGCAACCTTTGCCCAGTAGGTGACACTGTCTCCATGCAGGGATTGTGCATCACCACACACATGCCCTGAATGTTACTACTAGTAAAAGTGATTGAGGTGGAGCCAGTGATGTAAGCTGTTAGCTTATGTTGGCAGTGTGGAGATCCAAGTTGGAGCTCCAGACCCAGGGATGGTTAGCTCCAGGCCTAGCCAGGCCCCTGCCCCTCTGTCCTGCTGGCCCATGACCCGTCGACTTCCTGGCCCCTTCTAGGCGGTCCACTCAAAGCAGCCTCTGCGATGTGTCTGCATGTCCCTCACTCTACGGATGGACTGGATCTGGGGATGGTGGGCACCCCACTCATTCCAGTGCTTGAAGACACCGCACTCGAACACGTACTGGTAGCCACGGTAACCAGGGTACTGGTAGCCAACCCAACTGTCACCCAGAGAGACGGACAGAGATAATGAGAGAGAGAAATGGAAGTTAACGTCTTAAATCAAATGGATGGGTAGATGGATGGATTGATTGATAAGTTAATGTGCCAGCTCACGTTCCACCAGTGACCTGGATGCTGGCCACACGGTCCTGGAAGCCGTAGGACCACAGACTGGGGATATCCTCATCACACACCTCCATCTTACGGCCCTCAAAGTTATTACACTCAAACAGGCAGATCTTGTGGTCCTGGGTGTCCTGTAGGCATAGAGGGACAGAGGGAGGGATATCAGCAATAGAGTTTACCCACCTATTCACCCACGGCCCACCCACGGCACTTAGACTAGAGTATTGATGGAGGGACAGATGGATGAGTGAATGGATGGATGGACGGACTAACCATGCGAACGGGCCTGACGGACATGAAGTGGTCACACCTGTAGCTGTTGCTCCAGGTATCCCAGCGGGGGTACTCTCCCTTCTCCAGCATGAACATCTCTCCGCTTAGGTTCTGCTGCTCATAGCCCACCCAGCTGTATTGGGACATTATAAAAATGTTACAGCACAACTATAACACACTTATAATGAATTAACACAACTCTCTTATCAACATGATCAGAAGGCTAGGTACAGCTAAGTGATTGCAAGGTTCGTAGGTGACATCATGTTAGATGTCACATGTTCATCGCAAAAGTAATGTATCATTGGAGATTGCATGTTGTAAATTAACTATGTTTCAGGTGTCTCATTGGACTAAGATAACGTTAGTAGTAGTAGTAGGTTTTATTGGTTTCTCGCAGTCCTAGACTGCATTGTAAACCAATTTACAATCATAACATCAATCCTATATAGTTATCAAATAGTAAAATCCTAAACTAGCAAAACCCTTAACATAATAAAATGTCAAAATATGCAAAATATACAAAACAACAATACTACGACCACAAGGTTTGGGGTGGCGGCTTTAGAAAAGGCATCTTTAGAGTTCTTAGGAATGTATTTCTAAGGCCCCTGTGTTAAATGGTGTGTGCACTGATCAGTTTAATGAAGTATGGAATGGGAGAGTTCTGATAACGGCCTGTGTGTGTTATGGGAGTGTTCAGTTTGTGGCTGTTGCAGGTTGCCCGTCCAGTAATCTGCTGTCTGGTAGGGGGGAGCAAGTCCGCAAACTGGGAGTTCTGCAGGGATTTAGCAAATGTCAGGCAGATCTGCTCCCGTCTGCTGTCCAAGGACATGATTCCGAGGGTTTTGAGGTCTTCCCGGTAGCTGGTGTACGACCCGCTCAGAATTATTCTGAAGGCTTTCTTCTGGACACGCTCCAGCTGACAACTTTGCTTTAAAGGCTCAACTAATATGAATCCCTATGAATGGTTTTGATCTTCTATGTAAACAGATGAAGTTAGATATGACGTACGGTCCACACTCCACCCTGATAGAGCCGATCCTCTCGAAGCCCTTCTCACACAGGTTACGGCACTCAGTTGTGCACTCCATCATACGACCCTGGAAGTTCTCAAACTCAAACAGGTACATCTGAAAAGATAGATAATACCACAGTATGGTTATTTACTGTAATAAGCTATAATGTAATACTGTTAATGATTTGATATGGAGATAATTGATCAAGTTGACTGTCTTGGGCCTTTAAAACAACTGGAAATGCTGTATCTTCGCTAGAGATTGCATTATTAGTTATAATAATTAGTTTGTTAAAAAAGTGTGTAGACCTACTTTGTGGGCACGCAGCCCCATGGCTGGGTGGCTCCCAATGCTGCCCTGGGCTCCGGAGTGAGACATGGTCGAATCTGTGGCCGAACAGGGAGAGAGTGAGAGGGAGAGAGAGAGAGGAAGAGAGTGAGAGGGAGAAAGAGAGAGGGAGAGAGAGAGAAGGGGAGAGAGAGGAGAGGGAGAGAGATGAGAGAGTGAGAGGGAGGAGAGGAGAGGGAGAGAGAGCGAGTGAGGGGGAGAGAAGAGAGGAGGGTCGCTTGGTCTATTTGAGGAGAGAGATTTTCGAGAGATGAGTTAGATCGCGATCTCTACACTAGTTCAGAGAAGAGAGGGAGGAGAGGTTAAAGCCTAGCCTCTAGGAAAAACAACTTCATTTGACCTTCATATTGTGACTCTCATTTTTGTCATTTAGCAGACACGCTTATCCAGAGCAACTAGGATTAAGTTCTTTGCTCAAAGGAACGTCGACAGATTTTTCACCTAGTTGGCTCTGAGATTCAAACCAGTGACCTTTTGGTTCATGGCCCAACACCCTTAACCGCTAGGCTACCTGCAACCCACGCCACAGCTGTGTATCTATTCAACAGGCCCCTGGCCCCCATAGTGTCATATATCTGGACAGCTAAATAGATATCAATGAGAGATTGCAAAGAATAATATTTCCCACCAGTTTCCAGATACAAAAGAGAAAAAAAGACCAACGGTAATCCATGTTCAACTCAATGACTATAAACAGATTTCAATATTCGTCTTTTTGCAAAAATCCATAATAAAACCCACTTATCCACCCAAACTGTTAATGAGAACATAATCTACTTTTAACTAGTCACTCAAGTTCTTAATCTAGACTGGTTTATAGCCATTTTCTCTCTCATTAACTCTACCCCAAAACACACTTTTTGATGTTTAATCCTAAGAGACTTGCCTGCGCAATTTACCCCCACTAAATATTCCGTAAATAGCAATTCCTCTGTGAAAAAATAAAATCTCCAAAGATCCTTTTTAAACAACATGTTCAAGCATATTTTTCTTACAATTACTAAATTCAGTGACACTGAGCACACTTTCATCTGCCAGACGCAGGTAGGCCTGTCATGTAGTATTACTGAGCTGAGAGAAGATCACAGTCAAACATGGGCACGCATCTCTCGCACCGCCATTTCCCATTAAATGAACCACAGAACAGACAGAACGTCAAAGTAATGCAAAACATCGCTCTCTTGATACAAGACAGAGTATATCCCAGAGTTAATTGAAGTCAAAAGCTTCAATTTGACAGTCCTTGATTTAGGTCAGGGGACGAAGTGACCCCACCTTTGCCCCCCATCTCTCTCGCTCACAACCCCCTTCCCTGAGCGTGAATCTCACCAAGCGGCTGGTTGTCAAGTACAAGGGCGGAACGGATGTCCAGACAGATAAGCCTAAGAGTTGGAATCAGGCCCCCAGAGTAGCGATATATATATACATTTACATCCCTATGCTGCCTATTGGGAAAGGATCCCACCTCGTTATTGGATGAGCAGGGTTCTCTTTAGGGGCGGAGGGCGGGGTCAGGGGTCATGTATGCTGATCTCCACTGAGCCGTGCTGAGTCGGCTGCTTGCTTTGTTGTCCTGCGCTGCTGTGGGGTCCCGGACACACAGCCACCACCATCAGCAGAATGTACTCAACTACCCTCCCTTTGTTTCTCTCTCTGTGTGGTGGATCTCTCTCGCTCTCTCTCTCTCTAGCAGAGCAAGCAATGTGCTGACCTTCTACTGTGTGTAGTGCGAACGGGCGGGCAGGCTACAGTTCAGTTGGAACCTGCACGCAGGGAGGCAGGCACGCATGCGCACGCATGCACACAGACACACAAACACACACAAACTACACACAGTTAAGTGTTTGCTAGGTTTTGTTTTCTGCTATAGCATGGGACACCTCAGCGGACATTAGTGTCTGCCAGACTGCCAACATCTAGTACAGTGAGAGGAACACAGCAAAAGGACTTGGCACCCATGTCATTTTACAATCCAAGAATGGTTTACAGTGAAACAGGCAGAACCGGTCTGCTGGAGGCATAACATAACTAGCTATTCTCTGCCTGGCCTAAGTGGAAATCATCAGGTACAGTAGGGTGAAGAAGCATGTTTGTCAAGCATGTTTGGTACAGGTGTCACATTATATAGTACCTACAGTACATCATATCAAAGATAAGGGGTCAAGTGGATTACGATAGAAATAGTGCTTATTGATAATGATGCTTAACCTCTTAAGGATCGGACTCTTTTTTTCAATTTTCGCCTAAAATGACATACCCAAATCTAACTGCCTGTAGCTCAGGACCTGAAGCAAGGATATGCATATTCTTGATACCATTTGAAAGGAAACACTTTGAAGTTTGTGGAAATGTGAAATTAATGTAGGAGAATATAACACATTAGATCTGGTAAAAGATAATACAAACAGAAAAACATGCGTTTTCATTTCAATCATCTTTGAAATGCAAGAGAAAGGCCACAATATAATATTGCAGTTTAGGCACAATTTAGATTATGGTCACTAGATGGTAGCAGTGTGTGTGCAAAGTTTCAGATTGATCCAGTGAAGCATTGCAATACTGGACTATTTTGTATCAAGTCTGCCCAAATGTGCCGAATTGGTCAATTGATACATTTTCAAGTACATAACTATAGAGAACATACAAAAATGATATGGTAATACAAAATGTAAGTTTACACACTCCCAGGAATGTCATACATGATGGATCATTAGCTTATACACTAACTTTCACACATCTAGATGGCTGGGCAGGGTGGGTGTGGAGCCAGAGACAGCAAGGGTTCAAACTGTAGAAACCAGTTCCTACATTTGAATATAAAAATTGATTTTATCAAACAAAACTATGTTACATTTTATCTCTGGGACCCTCAGGATGACAAATCAGAGCAAGATTACTGAATGTAAGTACATTATTTACCTTCAGAGGTGAATGTATCAAACCAGTTGCCATGATACGTTTTTTGTTGTTGTGCACTCTCCTCAAACAATAGCATGGTATTTTTTCACAGTAATAGCTACTGTAAATTGGACAGTACAGTTAGATTAACAATAATTTAAGCTTTCTGCCCATGTAAGACATGTCTATGTCCCGGAAAGTGTGCTGTTACTAACAACAGTCATGCTAATCACATTAGCGCACGTTAGCTCAACCGTCCCGTATACAGGACACCGATCCCGTAGAGGTTAATATACTCTACAAATCTAAGCTTGTAGGGGGGGAAGTTCTACTAAGCTAACATATGGAATTATTTTAAGATGGTCATATCATGGATCATTTAGCTATTTAATTTTGAAATGTAGGACCCTTTTAGGTAGAAAAAAAATATGTACTACTATAGCCCATAGAAACGCATTGAATAACACATTCTTAAATGGCAACAAAGACAGTCAAAAAAATTAATCATAAGGAATAAGGTTTTGAAGTGTCTGTCCTATATCTAGGAGACATAAGAATGCTCAGGAAAGATTTAGTTTTTTTGGGAGACATATTTAACCACTTATTTTTGTTGGTACCAAACTATCTCCATACTTCCATTCATTTTGTATGGGTTACCTTCAGATGAGTCCCGTGACACTTATGGAGTCATATTAGTTTGACGTTTTCGTGAGAAGACCGATTTTCGGGATGTCACATGGTCTGACAACCGCTGTAGCTCGGCCGCTTTCCACCGCAGATGCGGATGTGGTGGATTGAGACGCAGCCCATGCGGTTCAACTCTACCATTGAAATCGTGATGGTGCCTCTATGTCATCAAAAGAGAGGGTTTCGGTATGAAATACACTACCTTCTAGATGTGCTGGGTGGTACCACCTCAAGGATTACTATAAAAGCAGGTGACAGCGCATCTTATTTGCCAATGGTCTTGGTAAGCAACCTGGTCTTAGAGCATTTCGTATTATTCTGTATGTAAATCCTAGACATATGTTATGTTTCGTATGGTATCTATTAAGGGTTAAGGTTAGGGTTAGGGGAAGGGTTAGCTAAAATGCTAAGCACTTACAAAGTAGCTAAAAAGTAGTAAGCAGTTGAAAAGTTGCTAATTAGCTAAAATAGCTAAAGTAATCATCTGTCTTAAAGTGAAGGAAAAAAGTATTTGATCCCCTGCTGATTTTGTACGTTTGCCCACTGACAAAGACATGATCAGTCTATAATTTTAATGGTAGGTTTATTTGAACAGTGAGAGACAGAATAACAACAAAAAAATCCAGAAAAACGCATGTCAAAAATGTTATAAATTGATTTGCATTTTAATTAGGGAAATAAGTATTTGACCCCTCTGCAAAACATGACTTAGTACTTGGTGGTGTACTCCTGAGTGGCGCAGTGGTCTAAGGCACTGCATCGCAGTGCTAACTGTGCCACTAGAGATCCTGGTTCGAATCCAGGCAGCCGGCCGCGACCGGGAGACTCATGGGCGGCGCACAATTGGCCCAGCGTCGTCCAGGGTAGGGGAGGGAATGGCCGGCAGGGATGTAGCTCAGTTGATAGAGCATGGTGTTTGCAACACCAGGGTTGTGGGTTCAATTCCCATGGGGGGCCAGTATAAAAAAAATATGTATTCACTAACTGTAAGTCGCTCTGGATAAGAGCGTCTGCTAAAATGTAAAATGTGGCAAAACCCTTGTTGGCAATCACAGAGGTCAGATGTTTCTTGTAGTTGGCCACCAGGTTTGCACACATCTCAGGAGGGATTTTGTTCCACTCCTCTTTGCAGATCTTCTCCAAGTCATTAAGGTTTCGAGGCTGACGTTTGGCAACTCGAACCTTCAGCTCCCTCCACAGATGTTCTATGGGATTAAGGTCTGGAGACTGGCTAGGCCACTCCAGGACCTTAATGTGCTTCTTCTTGAGCCACTCCTTTGTTGCCTTGGCCGTGTGTTTTGGGTCATTGTCATGCTGGAATACCCATCCACTACCCATTTTCAATGCCCTGGCTGAGAGAAGGAGGTTCTCACCCAAGATTTGACGGTACATGGCTCCGTCCATCGTCCCTTTGATGCGGTGAAGTTGTCCTGTCCCCTTAGCAGAAAAACACCCCAAAGCATAATATTTCCACCTCCATGTTTGACGGTGGGGATGGTGTTCTTGGGGTCATAGGCAGCATTCCTCCTCCTCCAAACACGGCGAGTTGAGTTGATGCCAAAGAGCTCGATTTTGGTCTCATCTGACCACAACACTTTCACCCAGTTCTCCTCTGAATCATTCAGATGTTCATTGGCAAACTTCAGATGGCCCTGTATATGTGCTTTCTTGAGCAGGGGGACCTTGCGGGCGCTGCAGGATTTCAGTCCTTCACGGCGTAGTGTGTTACCAATTGTTTTCTTGGTGACTATGGTCCCAGCTGCCTTGAGATCATTGACAAGATCCTCCCGTGTAGTTCTGGGCTGATTCCTCACCGTTCTCATGATCATTGCAACTCCACGAGGTGAGATCTTGCATGGTGCCCCAAGCCGAGGGAGATTGACAGTTATTTTGTGTTTCTTCCATTTGCCAATAATCGCACCAACTGTTGTCACCTTCTCACCAAGCTGCTTGGCGATGGTCTTGTAGCCCATTCCAGCGTTGTGTAGGTCTACAATCTTGTCCCTGACATCCTTGGAGAGCTCTTTGGTCTTGGCCATGGTGGAGAGTTTGGAATCTGATTGATTGATTGCTTCTGTGGACAGGTGTCTTTTATACAGGTAACAAACTGAGATTAGGAGCACTCCCTTTAAGAGTGTGCTCCTAATCTCAGCTTGTTACCTGTATAAAAGACACCTGGGAGACAGAAATCTTTCTGATTGAGAGGGGGTCAAATACTTATTTCCCTCATTAAAATGCAAATCAATTTATAACATTTTTGACATGCGTTTTTCTGGATGTTTTTGTTGTTATTCTGTCTCTCACTGTTCAAATAAACCTACCATTAAAATTATAGACTGATCATTTCCTTGTCAGTGGGCAAACGTACAAAATCAGCAGGGGATCAAATACTTTTTTCCCTCACTGTACCAAACGTAACATATCGTACTAATTTGAGTGTCCCGGATTTACATTTAATATGTTACGTCTAGTCTATGAGACCAGGCTGTGGTAAGTGGAATGTGCCAATATTTTGCATGATGCTTCCTTGACTAGACTACTGACGTTACACAAAATTCAAAAGGCACATTTCCTTCGGGAATTCGAAATTACACCGCAAGTGCCAATAGATGTCAGGAACTCTGCGCCTTACCACTGTGAGCTAACTGTCCAGAGCCATATTTGCTCTAGATGCACATCATTTTATTATCAGAGCGTGCCAGCAGACTTCTGGTAAGTAGGCTTTAGTGAGAAAGTGTTTGGATCAGGTACAACTACGTTTATCCACCACCAAAATGAATATTTATGAACAATTCCCCCCACCCACAACTTCTCACCTGAATGCATTTTGTTTTAAATTTGAAGGGGTTGGGCAAAGGACGAAATTGGGGTTGAGAGGTACCCTTTAAGGAAAATGTTCTCTTTTAGTTTTTCTCCAGGAAGTTTCCTCAAGGAGAAAGCCTGCACTTCTATGTCAAAGATAATAAAATAAAAACACTACAGTAAATACTACAGTATACTACAATCCGCAAAAACACAACATTAATTACTATAGTATATACTACAGTTTTTTTTTACTACAGTATTTATACTATAGTTAACTGTATACTACAGTAAATACTACAGTATTCACTGTACTGTTTGGTCCACAAAAACACTACAGTGAATGGAGCCAGCAGCATACTACCCTGCATCCCAATTCTGACTTAATTCTCAAGCTAAGCAGGGTTGGTCCTGGATGGGAGACCAGATGCTGCTGGAAGTGGTGTTGGAGGGCCAGTAGGAGACACTCTTTCTTTGGTCAAAAAAAATAATATCCCAATGCCCCAGGGCAGTGATTGGGGACATTGCTCTGTGTCTTTCAGATGGGACGTTAAACGGGTGTCCTGACTCTCTGTGGCACTTATTGTAAGACTAGGGGTGTTAACCCTGGTGTCCTGGCTAAATTCCCAATCTGGACATCATGGCCACGTAATCATCCCCAGCTTCTAATTGGCTCATTCATCCCCCTCCTCTCTCCTGTAACTATTCCCCAGTTCGTTGCTGTAAATGAGAATGTGTTCTCAGTCAACTTACCTAGTAAAACAATACTACAGTAAAGTCTGCAAAAACACTGAAGTGAATACTATAGTATTTATACCATAGTATACTATAGTACTTTTTCATTTGGGAAGGGCTTCCGAAGAGCTATGTTAGTGAAATTCTTGGTTCACTGGAGATCTTCTTAGTTTATTGAGCACTTCTTGATAACTTGTTTTCTTTAATTAGCTAACTTAATATCACTCGTCATGAGAGTGTACATTTAAGTCATAGGTGCCTCAGAACATCTGATATGGTATAGCTGAGAAAAACCTGTTTTATTGATGTATTTTAATCTGATGGTTATGTTCACAGCATTCCAATAACAGTATGTTAAATATTGACCAATTGTCATCTAAAACACACATTTTGAAATGGTTAGAATTTTGGTACATCCTCCTTCTGACGTGTGTCCCTATCTTTTTCCTCAACAGCATATACATTAACTACTGCAAGCATGTTGTGTGTTAGGGGCTGGGCTATGACCAGGGCAGGGCCAGGACTGGGTGTAGTCTATGTCTGTATAATCACAGGGTCCGGACACTTGTCCAGAGACTTGTGTTAATCGGCACTGGGCACGGTGCCCTGCATTCAGACCAGTACACCAGCACACCGTGGCAGGCGGGGGAGAGCCTAAAGCCCTGTGGCTCAGTCAGGAACAATGGAGGGCCCAGCAATGTGCTGACTCCTACCCCGTCCCACAGGCCTGGGCTCCATTCACCACCACTGTGTATAAATAGGCCCGTTTACTCAGGGGTCAGGACATCGTTTTGTGGAGCCCCCCTTGAGCGCTACACAGCTATTTTTTGGGGTAGGTCAGGTAAGCCCTCCATCTTTAGACCGTTTGGCCTATAGCCTTTTGCTGGCATTGTTGTCCATTTACATTGTCCATTGTCCTGTTTTTTTTTTCTTTGCTGTTTTCTGCTGAGCTTCGGGAATGTACAGAAAGGGTCATACGCACACACACTCATAGGACACACACACACACACATACTCTAAATGGACACACCAATCGTCATCACAGTCAACATCATGCATCACACTAGAATGCTACTGTATGTATGCTGTGACCCCATCAACAGCATAGTTTACTTTACACACTCAGGGTGTGACAATGGCATGACTTACAGGCACATGATACAATTGTTCACCATGTAGAATTTATAACAACTAATAAAGCATACATCATTATCACATATCATTCAGAAATGTGGGTGGATGCTTTGCACTGTACTATTTTATTTGTGGTATTACATACCAATGTTAGATACCAGGCCTATGTATTAGAGAGGAGTTTTTTCAGTATTATACTATAGTATTTGCACTTCTCGGTTGGTATCTGTGCTCTGCTTTGTATCCTCACTCTGGCTTTAGCTAGCTGTTTTTGTGGTGTGCATCTCCTCCCTCAGCCCTATGTGCATTGCATTATCATCAGCAACAGCACAGGGCAGTGCTTTGTTTGGGCTTGTCGTGAGTCTCTAGCATAGAGTCTCTAGTCTCTGCCACATTAGCATAACCATGACATTAACATGTTTGGGCATTAGCTGCTGGGCACAGACTGATGCAAGCGCTAGAGCTGAGTTGAGATGGTCCATGGTGGTTTAGTCATGTCTGCCCTGGTCTCCCTGTAAGGACAAACAGAAATGTGACTTTCTGTGACTGTGTGCTTTCTGCACTGCAGGTCAATTATTACTGAGATATCAAACATGGCGCTGACTACTCCTAACCCAATGGGACCATGGAAGGTGAGTCAATGTTATGTACACCACGTTTCCACAACTATTTAACAACGTTTCACAATCTTTTCAATTTTTCATAAACAGACGTAAGAGGAGAAAGGAAAGCTTTGCACACTGAAGTGCGCTCTCTAGCAGAGATACTGGTTGTGTTAAAAACAGTTTTTAAAAAACAGCAATAGTATGTCGGGCAGATTACAAATATGCACTATATCCTCTGTCCTAGATCACAGTCTACGACCAGGAGAACTTCCAGGGAAAGCGTATGGAGTTCACTGCTTCCTGCCAGAACATAATGGAGTGTGGCATGGACAACATCCGCTCCCTGAAGGTCGAATGTGGAGCGTAAGTCAGCCAGCCCCCCAAAACACAAACACATCTACATACTGTAGGATATTTATCTCCCTGACAGGTTACACATGATCCTTCAGGGGCCATGGGACCATTGCACAGGCAACAATTTCTAAGGGATACTGATAGACACATCCTGTATCATGGAAATAGACAATTTCATAAAAAAACATGACAAAGTCTTTGCTCCACCCTTGCATCTATCCACATGTACTGTATATCTGTATATCTCTATGTCTCTATATGTCTCTCTATGTCTCTCTATCCCTCTCTATGTCTCTCTATCCCTCTCTATGTCTCTTTATGTCTCTCTATGTCTCTCTATGTCTCTCTATCCCTCTCTATGTCTCTCTGTCACTCTTTTTGTCTGTCTGTCCTCTCTCTCTGTCTCTCTCTCTCTCTCTCTCTCTCTCTCTCTCTCTCTCTCTCTCTCTCTCTCTCTCTCCTCTCTCTCCTCTCTCTCTCTCTCTCTCTCTCTCTCTCTCTCTCTCCTCTCTCTCTCTCTCTCTCTCTCCTCTCTCTCTCTCTCTCTCTCTCTCTCTCTCTCTCTCTCTCTCTCTCTCTCTCTCTCTCTCTCTCTCTCTGTATGTGTAGCTGGGTAGGGTACGAGCACTCCAGCTTCTCTGGGCAGCAGTTTGTGTTGGAGCGTGGAGAGTACCCTCGCTGGGAGTCCTGGAGCGGCAGCAACGCCTACCACATTGAAAGGTTGATGTCCTTCCGCCCAGTCTGCTCTGCCGTGAGTGTACTATCCAAGCCTACTTCCTGTTCCTTCCAGACCAGGCCAGACAGACACTCTCGTCTGTGGGCTACGTTCCAATATCCGTTGTAGAATTCCACTTAGAATGCCCAATACATTGATTCATTCAAATAGTATGCTAGTACAGATATTGGAACAGAAGCCTGGGTCCTGGCCTCAGTCTATGTCTCTGGCTCTTGTGAGTGACACTGACAGTCTGGCTCTAATCACTGTTACTGACACTGACATTATTTCATTTAACAGATACAAGTAGCTATCCTTGATAGCCTCTACCAGTGTTATTGAAAGCACTAAATGACAAAGTTAATAAAACACAGTATTATAAAGATTTCCTACTTTCTACATAATTCTACACAGTATATCTTTCGTAAATAGTTCTCAGTGAAACAGGTTGAATGTAACCTGAAATTGCCCGCTCCTCTCTCTGAACTGCACAGAACCATAAGGAGTCCAAGATTGTGGTGTTCGAAAGAGAGAACTTCATTGGCAAGCAGTGGGAGATGAACGATGACTACCCCTCCCTGCAGGCCATGGGCTGGGGCAACAACGAGATCGGATCCATGCAGGTCCAGAGTGGAGCGTAAGTAGCAGGAGTAGAAGTCCTGGCTTCCTTTTTCACACTACAGAAGACTATGCTCATAACAATCAGAAATAGAGAAATCAATTGCGTCTAGCGGTCGCAAAATTTGGACAAACTACTAAAAAGGTGTAATGTGCAGTAAGAATGAAATCCATTGTAATAACTATATAATTGAAATCCATTGTAATAACTAGATAAACAGTGAGAGGATAATCCTTTCTGTAACAGATCATAATAGAACTAAGCAAAAAACTATTAAAAAAATTAAATGATTAATTATCTAAATGAGTGTCCAGTGACCTTACTGACCTCTCTTTGCCAAATGTGTTAAAGGGACACTATGGTGAAAAATGAAAAATAAATAGCTATTATATGGTGTCCCTGGATATTATACAGAAGACTAACATGTACAGTAGAGGCCAACTCTTTCTGATCTACAAGTGCCTAGGCTCTAGAGCAGGGATGAGCAACTTTGATGGGGATGGGGGCCACAAAAAATCGTAACATCATGAGGGGCCACAGTGGCTCGGGGGTCTGCATACCCACATCCATACCCACACTTGTAGTCTTTTGGGGCCCTAAGTGTAGAAAAAATGTTGCAGTTTTAAAGTACGTTTGCTGCAATTCTACTCATTTTGCCATGGGATGGAGAGAAAAATTATCCGTTTTCAATACGATATCTGATGATCAATGGGGGACCACTGGTTGGTAATTCAACCATGATTACTACAAGTTTAGATAGCTGGCTACTAGACTAACTTACCAATATAAAAATATTTAGCTGACATGGGCTAATTAAGTTACTGTCTTTTTTATTTTGTTTGTGGAACTTGATCCGCGGACCTACAAAAGTAGCCGCCAGTTGCCCATCCCTGCTCTACAGGGTAAGGGCTGGGGCTTGTTTCTGGATATTTTCTCCCTCTCTCCCTCTCCCCCTTTAGCTGGGTGTGCTACCAGTTCCCCGGTTACCGCGGCTACCAGTACATCATGGAGTGCGACCGTCATGCCGGAGAGTACAAACACTACAGGGAGTGGGGCTCCCACGCTCAGACCTTCCAGGTCCAGTCTCTGCGCCGCATCCAGCAGTGAGAGCTTCCACGGCCTCCTCCCTTTTTCACCCCTCCTCCTCTTCCTCCTCTCCCTCCTCCTCCTCTTATCCTTCCTCCACCCTATCATTCCAAGCTTGGCCAGTAGTCCTGTCAGACCTCTAAGACCAACGGCTCCTGACGCTTCTGGTGCTCCACAGCGACAAAGATGTTTACAGCACTTTTGTTTTGTTCCATCGCCGAAAGAAGAAAATCGAGAAAACGAGAGAATAAGAAAGAAAAGAAAAGTGAGGGATACGCCCCACAGTGAGCGGAGAGAAGGGTCTCGGGTGGTACGACTCAGGCTTTGATGCTGTTCTCAGTGTTGTCACGGGGAATTCACAGCCACAGTGATCAATAAAGAAAGAATGAGCAACAAAAATAAACAGCGATACAAAAGTCTGCTATTAACCTGCTCTGGGGTCAATTGTCTTTACTTGTTTTAACAGTTTTTTCTCTCTACTCTCTACTAGTATATTTTCTCAGCAGTTCTCAGCCCTTTCCTCTGTAGGCTACTACTTTGTAATGAAGGCTTCACTATCTGTAATAGAGGTTAGAAGAGTTGGTTATGTCAATATGCACCTGCCTACCATAAAAAAGGGCTATAATCTACTGGTTCATGTTCAGCATCAGGTTTCCGGTCACTATAAACTGGGGTCAAACTGGGCTGGAGTTACACCATAGCATTCCATCACTTCTAGGCCTACCCTTACAAGCATACAGTGGCAGACAAGTAGCTATAAACTCTTAGTTGAAATGACCCTATAATGTCAGTTACTTTTATGTGCAGTAGTCCCATCACCTTGAACAAACTAATGTCACCCTTGGTTATAAGAAATATAAATTTAAAGTGTCTACTAAGTGGACCTTCATACCGAAAGCAAACTGTGACACATATTAAACCCTATAGCACAGCACACAATTAGAAACTCCAGAAATATCAATGTATTTTAGCCATAATGCAAAATACAATACAAAGCTTTAATCATGAGTGAAATTAAATACTTGGTGTAATGTAAAACGGTTTAATTAAACCCAGGTCTATTAAGATGTCACAAAGCGTTTATCCAACAGTGCCCTCTCAGGCAACACCAAAAAACCCAGTCTGTCTCAATTCAGTACCATTCTCCATCTGAAATATTAACCATTAGGGGAAAATCTTGCCTAAATGCATGGTGTCTGTCAGGACTATCCCATGCAATTTAGTGTCAATAGCGTATACTGTATGAGGAATATGTTTGGGAAATTGAGACTATGGTATTATTGAGACAAGAATGGCAATTTACAACCTACCACGTTTCAGTAATATTCATTTCTTTTTTGTATATTACATTACTGACTAATGTTGACAGATATCATTGTACAGAACTAAAATACACTGTACTACTGTATATGTAGTCTCAAATTCTAGCTTCTTCAAGCCACCTTAAAAAGAGGGTCAGTGCAATCCGGAATCCTTGCGATGTCCCTGCCCTGCCCTAAACCCTAACCTTAACCCATACCCTTACCCTAACTTCAAACATAACCATTACATAACCCTAACCCTTACCTTAACCATTTAAAATGTCAACTTCATTGGGGGTAGAGACGTCACAAGGACCCCGGATAGCGCTGACCTTAAAAAGAGGAGACTGACATCAGACGAAACCCCCGCCCCTTTAAAAGGAGTTGGATGCAGACACTGGCAGGCTGGCCGGAGAGACAGCTAGCAAGATTCTAGATAGCTAGAAATGTTTTCATCGTTTACCTTTTTATTTCACAAGCGGTGATGTTTTCAAGAGGTAGGAGTGTCGTGCTCTAGATGGTACGGTATAATTAACTTGACAATGGAGACTGAAGTACTATTACTTTTAGCTTTATATCTGAAGCATTGTAAGAATTAACACTGTGCACGCAGGCACACTTCAAACTGAAGACCACTAATTTACATATCCGCTTGACCTTCAACCTCAAGAAGGATACTGATGGGCTGTTAAACACAAGGGAGTTATGGACTATCATTAGCTCCATATATTACAAGGAGAGTCAGAAACATGGCAACATCTTTGCGGGAGCATTGACATACAGCGCCGAAACTATGCGTCTCATTTTTCGGCTTCCTCCTTTTTGTTGTTGTCCCCATCACGAGCACTGGGATAACGGCTCTGTGCGCCGGCGAGGCTTGTCAGAAGCAGTACTAATGATGCTTTCAAGACAACTGGGATCATGATGTCAGTGATCTCCAGGTGGGAAAGTCTGAGCTCTATAAAGATGCCAGAGTTTCCGACTTGTAGTTACAAGTTGGATGACTGTAAAAAATACAAAATGATCCCAGTCGGAGCTTGTGTTTTCCCTGAGTGCCCAGTTGTCTTGAACGCACTGAAGTCGGAAGTCTGATATTTCCGAGTTCCCAGTTGTTTTGAACGCTGCATAATGCCGCGTTGACGCGCTAGTAGGAACTAGGAAACAGAAATGTCTGACTTGCTAACTGGTTGAACTCGGCACGTGTATAACTACAGCCAATTAGCAAGTTTCATGTGCCGCTTTCATAACAACTGGGAACGCTTGAAATCTCCGACTTCCGACTTCAGTGCGTTCAAGACAACTGGGAACTCGGAAATAAACAACCTCCAGCTGGGAAAATCGTTTTGAACGGTCATCCAACTCGGAATTCCAAATCGGAAACTCTGGCATCTTTCTAGAGCTCTGAATTACCGCCCTGAAGATCATTGACGTCATGATTTTGCCTAACCTCGGTAATTTCCGAGTTCCCAGTTGTCTTGAAAGCACCACTAGTTTCTACTAGCCTGTGACCGCAGCATAACGCCGCGAAAGAGGAGGTAGAACGCAGTGTTGCCAACCATTTTTCAGTGAGAATAGCTATTGACTCCTTGATTTGTCTCTAGAAGTCACTAGATTACGTTTTGCCGTTGCCACAATGATGTCACAGCACCAATTTGTCTTGATGCGTCTCTCCATCATATCTCCTCCTTAGCAGAATTACTTGATGATGCGGCTATATACTCACGCACCTTGCAAAATAGAATAAGTGTCAGTGTAGGCCACTGCATTAAGCAACGTGCATTACTTACCTTGATTTATTCTGATTTAATGAAACAGGCGGTGCAGATGTGGAACACCATGACTCCAATAGTCCAATATAATACGTCACAAGTTTGACAGCTTTAGATCATATTTAAGGAGCTTCACTTGGCCCCAGCCTTAGTGCCTCATCTATAGTTTGGAAGGATATCAGGTCCTACAAGAGTAGCAAATATATTTTTTGATTCAATAAGTTGCTGTTGGTATTGTCTTGCTTGGGCAAATTAATTTAAGTTCTGCCTCTACCTAGTAGCCTACTTAATAGGGCTGTAATGGTATAGGTATAGACCACTGTCTCCCGAGTGGCGCAGTGGTCTAAGGCACTGCATCGCAGTGCTAGCTGTGCTACTGGATCCTGGTTTGAATCCAGGCTCTGTCGTAGCTGGCCGTGACTGGGAGACCCAAGGGAATGGCTGGCAGGGATGTAGAGCATGGTGTTTGCAACGCCAGGGTTGTGTGTTCGATTCCCACGGCGGGCCAGTATGAAAAATACAAAAAATAATGTATGCACTTACTAACTGTAAGTCGCTCTGGATAAGAGCGTCTGCTAAATGACCAAAAAAAAGATTTAATAAAAAATAAAGGTATTCTTACCAAACTGTTCAGTACAGGAACCTCGGTTTCGGTCCGCACTGTGAACCTGAATGAATACATAAAACAAAATATTAGGCTATGTTTATATTTTTTTTACAGTCTTTGGTTTATAGTCGGTGGATATGCACCCATTCTCTGTGGTTGAGAATAAGGGGTTTCATCACCTCGTGAAAGTGCTCTAGCCATGTTATGAACTTCCCTCTTGCACCCAATTCAGCATACAGGTAGTACCTGATCTATACAAGAAAGCCAAAGCCTAAGTTTAAATGAATTAGCCATTGCACGGACAGATAGTTGGTTCGGCCAGATAGGTAGATCCGTCCAGCCGGCCAGATAGTTGGTTCGGCCAGATAGCTAGGTCCGGCCAGACAGATAGGTCCGGCCGGCCGGCCAGATAGCTAGGTCAGATAGGTAGGCCAGATAGGTAGGTACAGCCGGCCGGCCAGAAAGGTAAGTCCGGCCGGCCTGACGTCCAGACAGCTAGGTCCGGCCAGCCAGACAGCTAGGTCCGGCCGGCCAGCCAGCTCTGAGACATGATTGTGTCGAGGCACAGATCTGGGGAAGGGTACCCCAACATTTCTGCAGCATTGAAGGTCCCCAAGAGCACAGTGGCCTCCATCATTCTTAAATGGAATAAGTTTGGAACCACCAAGACTCTTCCTAGAGCTGGCCGCCCGGCCAAATTGAGCAATCGGGGGAGAAGGGCCATCATCAGGGAGGTGACCAAGAACCCAATGGTCACTCTGACAGAGCTCCAGAGTTCGTCAGCGGAGATGGGAGAACCTTCCAGAAGGACAACCATCTCTGCAGCGATCCACCAATCAGGCCTTTATGGTAGAGTGGCCAGACGGAAGCCACTCATCAGTAAAAGGCACATGACAGCCCGCTTGGAGTTTGCCAAAAGGCACCTAAAGGACTCTCAGACCATGAGAAACAAGATTCTCTGGTCTGATGAAACCAAAATTGAACTATTTTGCCTGAATGCTAAGTGTCACATCACGAGGAAGCCTGGTACCATCCCTACGATGAAGCATGGTGGTGGCAGCATCATGCTGTGGGGATGTTTTTCAGTGGCAGGGACTGGGAGACTAGTCGGGATCGAGGGAAAGATGAACGGAGCAAAGTACAGAGAGATCCTTGATGAAAACCTGCTCCAGAGTGCTCAGGACCTCAGACTGGGGTGAAGGTTCACCTTCCAACAGGACAACGAGCAGGTTAGCACACAGCCAAGACAAAGCAGGTGTGGCTTCGGGACAAGTCTCTTAACGTACTTGAGTGGCCCAGTCAGAGCCCGGACTTGAACCCGATCTAACATCTCTGGAGAGACCTGAAAATAGCTGTGCAGCGACACTCCACATCCAACCTGACAGAGCTTGAGAGGATCTGCAGAGAAGAATGGGAGAAACTTCCCAAATACAGGTGTGCCAAGCTTGTAGCGTCATATACCCAAGAAGACTCGAAGCTGTAATCGCTGCCAAAGGTGCTTCAAGAAGGTACTGAGTAAAAAGTCTGTCTACTTATGTAAATGTGATATTTCAAATTGTATTTTTAATACATTTGCAGAAATGTCTATGAACCTGTTTTTGCTTTGTCATTATGGGGTATTGTGTGTAGATTGATGAGGGGAAAAAACAATTTAATCAATTTTAGAATAAGACTGTAACGTAACAAAATGTGGAAAAAGTCAAGGGGTCTGAATACTTTCCAAATTCACTATAGGTCTGGCTCGCTGGCCAGATAG